TGAAAATAAAGTTTGAAAATCTATAAAACCCTTTCAGTTTTCTTCCTAGCCAGCCCCAGGCCAAACCCCACAACTACATTAAATAAAAACGTTTTAATTTTATTTATTTAAAATTTGGCATGGATCAAAATCAAGCAATTGGCTGGGGGCTTTTATTCAGAAATAATGAGGGAAATCATTTTGGGGGGTTAGTCCCACTACAAGGGTTAATTTTTTCAAAATCCGGGAGTTCTTTAGTTTTATGTTGCCAAGCTTACCCAAATTTATGTACCTGTAACCAGAAGCGTCACAATGCCGGGTGTCACCTGGTGCGGCCACCGCGTATTACCCAGTGGCACGTCCTTATGCACGCGCGTCATGACCTCACGCGCACTTAAAGGAGAAGTACGAGGTGAGTGATTTTCACTCAACCTCAAAGTTCGAGTTGACGTGTGACAATGAAACTGTCACATGTCGGCTTTATAGATCGGCAGGTGAGCTAACTCATACCGCCGCTCGCTCACATTCTGATCATCTCCCTGCAGAGAGCGGTGACCATCAGTCACCACTCCCCGCAGGGATTCCCCCTTCCTCCCCGATCCTCCAATGCTGACTGGAGAACGGATGGGGAAGGGGACGGGCACAGCTGGCTCTGTCTCTAGTTAGTCAGAGCCAGCTGTCACTCATGCAGCTGGGTGGATCTCAACAGAATTGTCGGGTTCCGTGCCAGCTGCGGCGCTCTCAGTATATAGCGAACTGTAGCTCCTTATATACTGAGCTTTGGGTCACAGAAGGATGCTAGTATGTGTCCTCCCGTGACCCTTAACAAAACTATGGGATAAAAAGGTTACCTTATAGTTCTCTTTTAACTGCCGGCAACCATCTTGGTGATGGAAGCCAGCAAAGAGTGGAGGGACATTCATCTTGTGGGATAAGGTATGCCACCAGGTCTCTCTCATGCAGCTGTCGGGCTCTCGGTCCATGACCAAATGCATGACTTTTCAGAGGGGTTGACACCCAACTGACTGCCAGTCATTTTGGTGTCACCCCCTCTGATGGTGTCCCCCAGTGAAGGCCGCACCCCCCTTGTGATGCCACTGCCTGTAAAAATGCCGCATTTCTGCAATTAACAAGCACTTAATGCTTGTGGAATTCTCAGGTATTAGTGGTCTCAGAGATAATTTATAGTCTGATTACAATGTTTCCAAAACAATTGCTGGCTGAGTAAAGTAGGGAAGATGCGCCTCCATTTCCTGCCCTTCTTAGTCTTGATGACATACAAGGATGTAAACAGAAATCCCACCAACAGGATGCAGAAAGCGATCAATTGTTCATCAGAATAAAAAAATAGTATAAGGCATGGCCTTCCACAGGATGCATAGGACATATTGACCCTCAAAAATGTAACTGGATGCCTGCTACTGCACTAAACAATCATGGTCAATTTATAACAGTCAATATTCTGTCAATGCCTACAATTGTTTAGCATATCCAGACACTGGTAGGAGGTAAACTATACATAGAAGGATGGTTGCATAGTCTCAAGAGTCATAGAAATGAAAATGCATAGAACAAATGTAAAAGACTGTGAAAGGGAGCTATTGTTGTCTTTCTACTGGTCTACAATAAAAAGAAGAAAATACTCTTGTTGCCCACAACTACTGTACATTAACACAAACACAGCAGACATACATATGAATCATAAAAAGCTTTTTTCTGTATATTAATGTTCCCTAACATTTTGCTACAAGTGTTAGTTCCCTTGAAAACTAACAATGACATTTGTAACAGGGCTCTGTGGAACATCTCTCTGTACGTCTTAACATTTCAAGTGGAACATCACTTAATTATATAAGAGCAGATCCACACACACGGTGTAAAGATGTTCAAATGATTCTGCAATCAAATGTTCTTTCACTTTGTAACAAGAAAGCAAAAACGCATTAGTAATATAGAAAAGAACGACAGGTAAAAATAAAACAGCACGACTTCTTTCAATATTGCTGTGGAAACATTTTATGAACTTGAGTCGAATGTGCAAAGAAGTCATTTTGTGTATGTGGTCTGTAGAATTTGTAATCAGCTTTGTGAACCCTTACGGACGTACAGCTTTCTTTAAGAATGTCTCCTAAATTATGTGATCTGGCATGCTATGAATTCATAATAGACAGCCTATTGCAACAACTAACACCTCATTATGCAGAAATAAAATTCAGATGTTAACCAGTCGCTATTGGAAGCCCCTCAATTGAACAACATCCTTAACAAATAACTGTTTATAGCTGTTGTCTTTTGTCCCATTCCTGTTTAGAAAGCTGTTTCAATGTACCCATTTTTTTTGGAATGTCTTCTATAGGCTGCTTCTGATCACAATAAAGCATTTAAATGGGGCTGAGGTCAAGACTTGGTCATTTCAGAACACACAATTTCCTTTTGTTTGAGCCACTCTAGTGTTGATTTACTTTATTGTCTAGAATTATTGTAATTTTGGATGACCCAGCTTCTTTTGCTTTAGGTTACAGACAGATAAACTGACATACGGCCAATAGCACCCTTGCACAATTTGTAAATTGATAGCACGTCATCATAGCTGCACTGACATCATAAAGGAGCAAAAGCAGTTAAAACCATTAAACACCATTATATTTTCATTCTGCTTTATCCATGGGACAAAGTTGGTATGCATTTGTTTTTTTTTCAATGTTAATGATGTGTATTTAGCAAAAAGTACGACTTTTGTTTTATCAGTCCACAAGACATTGACCCTGCCATTAAACACTCAAGGTTCTTCAGCAACTTTTTTTTTGAAGGGACTATTATTTTACCACCTCAAAAACACTATGAGGGGAACTTATCAAGACTGGAGCAGACAAAATCTGGAGCAGTTGCCCAGGGCAACTAAACAGCTTCTCTATTCAGTTTGTTCAGTTAAGATTTGCTCCAGATTATGTCTCCTCCAGTTTTGATAAATCCCCCCTTTTATTTTAGTATTTTCTGTACGATATACTTCTGAACACCCACAACTTAAGACCTCTCCTTACGTTGAAAATCAATTTTAAATGAGCAATATTGCATTTCAACTAAATTCTGTGTTATGTGTTGCAGGAAAAGTCACACTCATTCCTGAATTAACATGAAAATCTAACTCTTTGATTGGAATGCCTTGCTATAATGCCTTGCCATTCGCCCATTGTAAAAATACAGGCGGACGGCGGATGCTTCCTGACGGGTGGATGTACATTTACGTGATTTTTTTTCTGCTAGCGGGAGTGTGAGAGCAGAATTCTGCTGGGAAGGTAAACAGCCATTACATGCTGTTGCATACCAGCGTTCGGCCGATCGCTTGTATGACCCTGCACAGTGCGCCCCCCCCTTTTACCGCTCCCCCCCGCTGCTGCTGCCGGTTATCCCAGGCACCACTGTGCCCCCTGTGGTGCCTGGGACTGAGAACACCGGTACAGCGGATACTAGTAGAGAGAAGAAGAGATCAGCATTTCCCCCAGTGCTGAACTCTCCTCCTTCTCTCTCTAAAGGCGGAAGTGATGTGTACTACATCACTTCCGCCTTTAGCTGTCATTTCTCTGGCTGCTTGCCAAAGAAGCAGCAAATATCTGCTTCATCAGCTTCTTTGGGGGTCCCAAGGTGACATTAGGGGTCTTGGGGACCGCTGATGTCTCCATAAACAGGGCCTGTCATTGTATATTGGTTATCACATAGGGGGATTTTTATTCCCCTATGCGATAGCAATCAAGTTAAGTGTAAAAATAAAAAAGTTAAAAAAAATGTAAGTCTCATATAAAAATTTTGAAGCTTGACATGTTTAGTGTCTATTTACCCAAAGTGACGGGGGTCTTTTATATTTTACCAAAAAATTGGGTAATAATAAATGTTTTATAACATAACGTAGGGAAAACAGGTTTTTGATTTCCAAATTTTTGGTTCTTTTTTCATTATATAGTAAAAAATAAAAACTCTAGTGGTGATTAAATACAACCAAAAGAAAGCTCTATGTGTCCCCAAAAAATTCATTTCAGTACTGGCCTGGACTGGAAGGGGGTTTAACCCTTTCGCTGCCAAGGACGTACGTCGTACGGAGCTACAAAAGTGCTTCCAGCTGGCCAGCTCAGTACGTCGTACGGACCTGGCATTTACAGTTCTACTATAAGCTGATGGTCGCTTTAGCGACCATCAGCTTATAGTAGAACTGTTCAGCAGACTGTCCCCTTTAAATTAATAGCTCCGCCAGGTTCTCAGTGTGCCAGCTCCGCCAGCTTTAAATTAATAGCTCCGCCAGGTTCTCAGTGTTCAGCTGATTTGAAAAATGTTCCGGAGGGCTTGGCAGCGAAAGGGTTAACACCCCGGTCAGCAAATGGTTAATAACTTGCTTGTCCAAATGTCATAACCCTAAGGCTGGTGCCACACCCATTCGCTTGCAGGTTGTAACCCCAATGGCACCCAACCCACATATACAGTAGAGCCAAATCCGCCTGCGCTATAGTGCACCAAAATGCACAGATGTTAGTGGCCTGTCCATTGTGTTGCCAACAAAAAGTGCAGGAATGTTTTCTGTGTGAGTTGAAGTGCAACACACACATAAAAAGCATGTGTTAAAAAGCGTGTTATTGCACGCAAAGGTATAAAGAGGCTCTAAACCATATGTTCAATAAAGATATGATTAGGTGAAAAATTAGCTATGTGTAATAACACTGCCTTTATTATTATGATTAGGTCTCTATATAAGAGCCATTCATGCAGATATCTTGAAAATTCACAAACAAGAGTTTATAACTCTTTTTGATGGTTAAAAAATATCACAGCCAGTGTGAAATGAATTGGGATGCAGCATACAAGAGGGTGAGAATATAATTTCATTTAAAAAATATATCTTTATAAGTTGGTTAAGCAGTGTGTCTATAACCTGTATATGACATTGTGAAATGACAATAATTCTAGACATTTTAGAATACACTATAAGGATGAATGCAGTTATAGAAGTACAGTGTTGTCAAAAAGCAATTTACCTTTATTCCAGGAAGCCCAGGTAGCCCAGGAAGCCCTGGTTCACCCTAAAGAAAAATCATATTACAGAAAAAGATGTTCTTGTGGTGAGAAAAGGGCAGACATAATGGAACAGTAACAGCAGATTTTATACCCTCACAAAGGCACAACTGTGGCAATAAAGTGTTTTTATTGGTCACCGGCAGATGGTAAAAGACTGTCTGCTTGAGAAGAAGAGCAAAGAGCAGGGTTGGCTACAATGAATAACTTTCATGATTCTTAAAAAATATCTATGTATACCAAAAGATACAGCAAACTGCTTTGTGGTAAATCTCCTACCTGGACAGAGTTTCTATTGACCTATGTTCAATGTCTGCTTACAATGACACAATGTAATTATGACAAGATAATACATTAAACATTTCATAACCTCTTATATAAAAAGAAGTTCACAATAGCTACCTGCAACCAGGGAAGAACTAATAGTTTACTGACCCATAGAAGAACACAATCTTCTTCCCAGTGCCAAAGTACAACACAATCCTCCCTAAAGCTGGAAAAGGCAGTACTTCTAGTTATAACAACGTGACTACCTGCTTCTCATTTATGCATTTCTGAAATGTGTATAGATAACATACTTCAACTATGTGCAGATCAGAAGCAGAAAGCACTGATTGTATACTCCGTGCTGTCTTTCCTCTTCATTTGTTCCTCCCAATCCCCATGTTGAGCTGCAAAAAATTATGCTACCGAGCTTTAGAAAAAAGGTTCAGAGCAGTTCTGACCTTCTCACTCCCTATTCCCTCTTTCCTACTTAATTTTCCACCGATGGGCTGACCACTCTACCTTACCCTTCCAGTGAGTTGTTGCTTGAATATGCCTTTTCCCTCCCTCTTGTAGATTTTGTCATATTTTATAACCACCCAAGACTCTAACTAATTTTTTTCATCACATTCTACCCATTAGACCTCCCCCTCAGTTGCACTATGCTGTTACAGCTTTTGGACATGAAGTCCTCTGTGTTCCTTAAAATCTATATGCATTTTCTTATTACCTGTATAATGTTGGCCTATATTTTGTCTTTCAAATCTGTGTGTCAGCTCACTGATTTGTTATACTGTTTAATCTGTTTCTATTTCTTATAAAATGGCTTAATGATATGACCCTATGGGGCCACCCTGTACCTTCTTTGCAAAAGTACAATATAATTATGTAAAAGAAAGGTTCAGAATAGTTAGGTTGCTGCATTTTAGAATTTGACGTATTTATAAAAGCTTGATCTGTCATTGGATTTAGTTTTTCCATGCATTAGTTTGTCACCTTTTAGGTTGCACATTTTCTCAACCACTCTTGCTGTATTTATAATGTGCAGGAATCGGAATTTTAGAAAACAAATTGCAGTATTAAAATGACACAAAAAAAATGCATTCGAGTATCTTATTTATTAACAAAAATGTAGCTTATTTGTGTATCACTCAGCTTTAGATCCTCAAATCATCTCTGAATTCATGCTGACACTGTCCTTCCTTCTGGAGGGTGGCTACTTTTCTTACCCATGATCCCTGTGTGTGCTTTAAAGTACCCACCACTTTAAGCTCACTCCCATGATAGACTATAACTTTAAGCTAACTAAACATGAGATTGTAGTCCATCACAGGAGTGAGCTTGGAGTGGTGGCTACTTTACAACACACACAGGGACCATGAGGAACAAAAGGAGCCGCCATCCAGACAGAAGGACATTGTCAGCACCAATTCAGAGATGATTTGAGGATCTACAGCTGAATGATACATAAATAAGATACATTTTGTTAATAGTTAAGGTACTTGAATGCAATTTTAAAATTGACCTAGAGTTTAGTGTCACTTTAATGCGTCTTTATAACACCACTGCCTGTAAGTATCTAATGTAGTAAGATACTAATCTAATAAAGTAAACTATGATTAGTTTTGTCCAGGTTTGCCTGTTTTGTCTTTTGGTTTGGCTCTAGTTTGTCAGTGTTGCACAGACTTTGATAAACCACTAATCCTTCTCTATTCAAAGGCACTTTGTTGTTTTTATATTTTGCCCGCTTATTGCTAGCTTTATAAATGCATGAAAAAACAGTGAATAACAGTCTTTTAGAATTCTTGTGAGGCGAGAGGTTGCAAACCTGAACGAATGTGTATTTTTTTTTTTTACATGTCCCTTAGTTTGTGCCTGATTCTAAACCGCTAACTTGTGTAGAATTCAAGCTCTGAGATGCAATCATGGCTAAGAAAGACAGTAACTGCTAGAAAGACAGTAACTGCTAACATCTTATGACAATTATACTAGGCAGATTGTAGGATTATTTTCATCAATGGTGAGAGGAATCACAACTAGTATGTGGACTGGGTTCTTTACATCATAAATATAACTCCTGTATTGTTTTATTTCTCAGATAGGTGTGCATAGCAGATTATAGTGCACGGTCTGCCCTCCTTATCATTACTGTATTATCAAGATTAAGCATTTATTAATATTATGTATATTCAAAAATTTCACTATAGAAATGTGTATATGTTATGTCTAAAGAAACACTTATCTTTGTCCCAGTATGAATAAGAACAAGTTTTTTTCCCTATATTCTTGAGTTATAAACCTTTGCCATTTCATTTTCAAGACAAAAGCCTCCGGTGTCATACTTTTCTCTTTCTGTATTCTGAGATACAAAATACTTTAATTATAGAAAATGATCTAAAGTGTGATTGCTGCCTTCAAAAAATGTAGCAAACATAATTTTCACCTTCAAACTATTGGAAAGTAATTTGTTTACCTGGGAACTATACAGTTCTAAACAAATGCCTTTTTTCACAAGCTAAACCTTTATCTTGAAACATTCACGCCTTTTTTTTTTTTGTATTCCTACTGTAATGAACATGACAAAGAAACTCTGAAAACAAATCATATAAAAATGATGAAAGAGCTATCAGCTTATTTTATATCTGTAAATATGTAATTTATTCTTAGGTGTATATTGGATGGGAAGACGTTTTCTATTCTACACCTAAAACTTACAGTGAGATAAATGTTAAAATTGATATGCAAAATAATGTTTTAAAGTCTATTGGATAAATCACATTATCATCTACTTTCCTTTGAACAGCAGAAGAGATTTGAACTTTATCACCTGAGACCATTCAAAATGCTCTTTTTGTATCCAATCTGGAGGCTTTAGTATGCCAACCTAAATACAATGTAACACAAAAGAACAGGGGAAGCTGCTATGCATTATGGGAGCCAAGCTACGTGATAGGAGAGGAAGTAACCACAGAGTGGAACAAAAATTAAATTCCTACACATGTAGATATGTAGTAGGGATGCACCGATACCACTTTTTCCAATATTTCCGATACCGATATTTATATTTCGGTGCTCGCCGATACTGAGTACCGATACCGGTAGTTCCGCTAGCATGGAGCCGGCTTCCTGGGCAATCAGGCATGCCATTACCCGCCACCGGGCTTCTTGATTACCTGGGAAGCCAGCTCCATGCTGTTTGGCCAGGAAGCTGGTTTCCCAGCCAATTGGCATTGAGCCAGCTGTCTGGCTGAAAAGCCGGCTTCATGACCAATCAACATTGAGCCGGCCAATCAGCATCGAGCCGGTTTCCTGGCCAATCAGGAAGCCGACAGGTGGGTCATTACCCGCTGCCTGGCTTCCTGATTGGCTGGAAAACCACCTCCATGCTGTTTGGCTGGATCGATAAAAAACGGCTGGATTTCCGTTAGTTGAACGGAAGTTCCGGTATCGAGGAAGGTATCGTTGCTCGTCCAAATACTCGGTATCAGCACCGATACTAGTATCGGTGCATACCTAATATGTAGGCTAAAATGTATAAAGGGTTCTGTAATTTGGCCAGTTTAGATTCAACTAATGGGCAGGGGTTGCTTTGCCCATGCAGAGGAAATCAACAGGCTGGATTTAATGTCCCCCACCCAAGTAACATAGTCTAACTTCATTTGCCCCCCCTGTAATTGCATTTAGCTAGAGGAAAGTAATTTTTGGATTTGCAGTTGGAGCTTACACAAAGTTGCTTGTCTCTCATCCGCAAGTGGCAACAATGGAAAAAAACATGAAGCACAATTGTTATCACAGAGTGTTTTATATGTTCTTTTGTACTCAGAGGTACCAGGTATTTCTTCACTCCCGATGGATGGATGAATTAAGCAGTAGGAGAGCAAAGGAAAGGCAAATATAAGCTGCTTGGGGACCATGCTTTCAAACCACTCTGTTGCTTGTCCCTACATGACAAAGCATAGGTTTGCTTTAAGCAGCAACCACCAACTAAACCACTCCATCAATATAGTGGCAGTATAGTTATATTTACTGCTGCCCCTCTCTCCTTTTCCTGCAGTTAAAATAAGAGGCATTACTTTCAATTTCAGGACTGTTAGCAAGAGTGAAACGCTAATCCCTCTCAATGCCTCTACTAGTAACTTTTATGTAACGTACGAAAATGCATTTGTTGTCATAGGAGTGTCTTACATATCCCCAACTGAACTGTAGCAAACTGTAATATTTTGTACTTCTGATCTTTCAACTGAAAATGTAGTTTATGAACTATGAACTTTGTTGTGCTACTTAAACAGCAATTATTCAGGCCATCTACATTAAATCAACAGGGAACCTGTTGTGTTGGGATGATATCCCATTTGTCCACAACCAATGCAGCAAATCTGACAAAGTCTCTGTGTTCCAGCCTGCATTTAAGGTCAGATATTGGAGTTGCAGGATCTATGGGTCACTTATAGGAGATTCACAAGGAAACTGAAGATGCCCTTAATGATTTGGGCCCTTAATGACACAACATGAAGGGTTCCCTGCCTCAAGTAGCAAAATTTGAACCCACACGTTCCCGGGTGGAGTCTTTTATGGTTGTAGCATTAGGCCAGTGGTGGAATCTGTAAAGGAAGCATTAAAATAGAGCACCTCTCACAAAAGGCAAATTTCTAGTTTTCCTGGAATCCTACTTTGAAGTAGGTCCTAGTCTTTCATCTATATTATATTTTAACAATAGTTACAAATGCAATTTGAAATTAAAGTTAATTAGTTTTGTTTTTAAAAAAAATGCAAAAATTATAAAATAGGATTCCTTTGAAAGAATGAACCAAAAATGCTATTTTCCATAATAATTCCATCTTAAGAATAGCACCATAACTGTGACCAAGATATTAAATTGTGGAGTTATACATGACTGAGCTAATTGGGGTAACTTGCAAGTATTTTCTCATATCATTACCTTCCATACACCAAATTAAAACAATGAACCTGGAATATGTGTGCTTGCTGAATGTCTGTTCTGTTCTGAATGTGTGCAGAGCTGTCAAGTTCTTCAACTAATGTCCTCCACCTGCTGCTCCCTTTAGCATGAAACTCCTTTAAAAGGAACCCACTGAGATGGAAATATAGGAGCTGCTGTTGCTCACTTGTTTTTGTGCAGACTGCAGGGCTGTTTTGTATGTAGCGGTTTGCCTAAAGTTCCACTTTAACTTCTAGTGGGCTCTCCACATAAATATATGAAACACACAGCAGTTTTAGGGGTAATACGAGATCCCCTTAACAGGGTCTTAAACTGTAGTAAGGAGTTTCTTCTAATGTTGCATGAAGCTATATATGCTACATAATTCACAGTGGTAGTGTGGCTCCCTTGCTTTTGTTCTTTTTCCATACTGTTTGATAATAAATAATTCATGTTACTGCTGAACTTCTTCAATGATGAGAGTGAAGCACAACTCAAAAGTTTTGTTGCCACAAGAAGGATTTTGGTGTTATTTTCTGTGGTTAGACATGCAGTATTAATACCCAAACAAAGCAGGTGTAGCAATCACAGGTTAGAGCATTTAAAAGCAGCTAAAAGCTGAGCAAATCATCAATAGTTTGCAAACCTATGAAAGAAAAACACATAACTGGAAAACCTAAAAGAGTATCAGCAAAATAATATTAAATGATTTGAAAATTTAAAAAAAACAATGCTTCTTAGCAAGGTATGGAATCTATTAATTTGAAAGTTATCTTATAAATTGGAAAGTTATGATGCAAATATCAAATCTGTCAATATCCGCACTGCCCTTGTCATTAGCATTCTTATTAAATACATCTTGTAATATAATGTATAACAATAATTATTTCTAAATAGGTTGACTTAGTTCCCTGATAGAGCATAGATAAAGATTTGATCTCTATGCAAATATAAGGGGGGCATTCGTTTAAAAAGGGGTCTTAAGCTAGGTACCACTTTAACTACAAACAGTAACTTTTTCATTTTCTTCTGTAGGTTTTCCATAACATTCGGCGTACAATTTTTATAAAAACTCTCATACAAGACAAGCTTCAAAATATCACACTGACACATTCTATTATGTTAAACTTTGACAAGTTGATATGCTTCCTGTATCTTTATAGCATTACTGTTTCAGTGATCTATTAATATTGCTTAGTCCTATTGTACAATACAGTATCTTAGACACTCCCCATGGTAAAGTCCAGCTCTGTGTTACCTTATGCCCAGAACGTCCTGATTCTCCAGGCTCCCCCTGCAACAGAAAGTAGCTGCTGAAATACTTTCATTTACATAAAAAAGAGAACTTGTTATAGCTATGTCAGAATGTCTTATACAGTTCCAGAAAAGTGGAAAATAGCAGTTTCATTATCTCGCTATGGCTTATTCATTCACTAAGCTACTAAATCATGACAGTTATTGTACATTAATCTGGTCTTATTATTAATATTATTAATATTTATATTGAATTTACTTACCTTGATGCCAGCAGCTGAGGACCCTGGATCTCCCTATATTAATATAAGTTAAAAAAAATTAATATTGAAATCCACTAAAGAAAAAATAGACCATAAAAGGGAAAACGTACTCAGAATAAGTTATCCAGTCTACCATTAAGCAATAAGTTAGTTGTTTTTTTTTTATAAGTGCATGCCAAGCTCACTTCTGGAAAGAATAAAATGCATTAAGAAAGAAATATATAAAAAAGAAAAAAACAAAAGATAAGATTGTATTTTCTGTGATTAAGGGCCAGTTCACACCAGAACTGCATCACAACTGCGTGCATCTGTGCAGCTGCAGTGCAATCTGTTTTGATGTGATAAAATGCAGCTAAAATGGAGCTAGCAGGATTTTTTCTGACTGCATCGGAAGAGACTGCACTGGTGTGAACAGAGCACCAGAAATCCCATTGGAAAGCATTGTGAAGCAATTTGGATGCAGCTGCTAAACTGAACAGACTGGATCACAACTGCATCTGCTGTGAACTAGCCCTAAGGGGCCGTTCATACCAGATGCAGTGCGTTCCGGCCTGATTCTTGCCAGAACGCACTGCCTCGCATTGCGCCCGGCTCACTTTCTTGTGGGGCAGGAGGGGGCGCGGCGGGCCATTGAAGTGAATGGCACCTAAGCCACGCCCTCCGGCCGCAATGCGATAGGCCGCACGGGATTGCAAGGCACATTATGCCTGTGGTCCGGTCCGGTGCGAACAAAATGCTGCAAGCACTATTTTGTTCGCACTGGACCCGGCCGGACTGCAGGCATAATGTGCCTTGCGATCCCGCGCGGCCAATCGCATTGTGGCCAGAGGGCCCCACAAAAAAGTGGCCGGAGGGCCCCTCCTGCCCCACAAAAAAGTGAGCCGGCTGCAATGAGAGGCAGTGCGTTCTGGCCAGAATCGGGCCAGAACGCACTGCATCTGGTGTGAACGGGGCCTAATAGTCAAATGTGCATTCAGCCCAGTGTAAAACCCCTTCCATTTGTGGTGTCTTCTGGTTGAAGAGCTACCCGGGAAAGGAATAAAAATGAATTTTGGTACACTGAGAAGCAGTAATGAAGTCCTTTAAGGTTCAAATGTGTTTAAGCTCTTACTAGAGTTACACTGATCTGTCTTGTATACCGTTTAATTGTAGTCAGCACTAAATATGTATTTTTGATTTTCGGGCATCTACCATACCACAGAAAAAAAATATACATAACATAATATAATAATTGATAAACAACAATCTTTATTATATGTTTTAATAACAGTTTAATGACAATATTAAGAGGGTTATTTACAAAGCTGCCGAAGTCAGCGGAGTGAATTACCAAGCCGAAGTGAACAGAGCCGAATGCTGTTCGCCTATGCACTTTAGCTCAGTACGGCTGATTTCAGGCTGAAATTAGCAGTACACCAGCTTGCTTCGGGTACCTTCGGGTCAGCCGCACATGCTCAGCATGTTTGACTGAGCCGAAGTGAAGAACACGTTCAACTCGCTGCCATTCGGCCTCTTCTCATAGGGGCCGAACGGCAGTGAGTGAACAGCCGAATGCCGCCGAGCTGTGGTACCAAGCAGAATAGGAAATCAGTGAAAAAAGTAGAAAACATGTTTAAAAATGTTAAATTAATATAAATAAATAAATATTTCCTTAAAAAAAAAAAAAAGGATTTGGTGGAGCTAGCATGCCCCGGCCAATGAATAACAACCTGGGGACGCTGATCTATTATTGCAACTGGGCGGAGCCAGCCGTGAGATCACGGCAGGCTCCACCCAGCTGTCAGTTGCGAGGCTTTCGGCCGGCCTGTCACTTCGGCTCAGCTAAGTCGGTCGGCCGCCTCCGGGAGCTGTACAGGTTATAGTGAATAGCGGCTGATCCTTCAGCTAGCTTTGTGAATAACCCTCTAAATGCTCATCTTAGCATCCAGTTGCTACAATGACTTTACAGAAGATGTTAGTGGAACAATGTCCTTAAAATCTGTGGTTGCAATGTCCTTGGAAGATCTTATTTTGCTTCTTAACAACCTTTCAAAACCGTTCATCATGAGCAGAGGCTGTTTTTCAATATCATAATACAATACACTGCCTGGCCCCCAAAAAATGTTTGCTATTTCCAAGATAACAATGCCAGGATTCCTCAGGCTCAAATTGTTAGAGTGTGTGCGCCTTTTTTTGGCCAGGCAACGTATAAATGGCACAAATGTATTATTTTTGTTGCATTGTTTTCATTTATATAATATTAGGATTACGGGTTTGGTTCAGTTCAAGGCTTAAGGGCAGGGGTACTTCGAGGTTAATTATTAGGTTTAAAGGTTACATTAATAGGGTATGCTCACCGTAAAAATGGAACACGTTAATATAGAAATATGGGAGCTGCTGTTGCTGTCTTTTTTTGAAGGTGCAAGCTTTAGGGCCTCCATCCCGATGCTGTCTTTGCTATTTGGTGAATCCCTGATTAGGTACATTCAGGTTTTGGATCCTAGACACTGCCTGGCTGCTAGACTGATCCCTGCAGCCGCTTCTCCCCTGGACTCCAGCACTCTAAGAACCGCTGACATCATGTCTAATGCAGGTCCATTGATTTGCTTTAGAATTGAGGATGCTGAGAGATATTCCACAGCCAGAGTGGAAGGGGACACAGGTGAGTGCAGATCTGCTTTATTTGAGCCCCCTAGACAAAGCAGCATTTAACTCTTGCAGTGCGGGGACAGCCCACTACAAGGATAATTTTTTTAAATTCCCAGAGTTCTTCTTTAAACAATTAAAATAACTGAAGCAATGTATGTTGGGTTAGAAGTCATAATTCGCTAAATTGATATTAGGTCTATTCACCACATGGATGCACGGTTAATATATAGTGCATATTATTATATGCCACTATAAAGCAAAGTTAAGTATAGATCAGTAGATTTGAGTAAGTATATGCATAGCTATTCCTAATTGCCACTAATTTTTTAACTTTTTAAAAGTGGAATATATAAGTGATTAAATTGGTCAGCAAATCCTAAAAACAACTGTTTTAAACAGTTTCTAATCAATTATGTGACATGTATACAAAGGTTCCTTAAATCCTGCTAAAACAGTATTAGAAACTAGGCTGTAGCATAAGGAAGCTTAAAAACAATGATGGATTGCTTGAAGTGTAGATAGAATTCACAGGCTATTAGGATTGAGGAATCAATATGCCTGCATCTGCTTCATCGATAGTGTACGGATTCATGTTTACTCATCATTGAAAATTCAATGGCCCATCAAGGCCCCATGGTCCATTACTTTACAATAACAGTAACGGTGTACTTAGAGTGAGCAGGTCAGTAAGCACGTATACTGTATGTTCGCTCAGTCTACTTTCCATAAGTCAATGTAGTCACCTTTCAGGAAGTTTCAAAAGTAGTTCAACATGAAATAACTTTATTTGTATTCACAGTGGGATAGATCTAGGCAATCAAATATAATTCCTGTTGAACTATAATTGGCCTAATTAAAATTCTTAAAACAATAATGAGAGTTACACAAACTGTGAAACAACTACATATGCTGGGGGGTGTTTTATTATCTATTAATGCGTGCATTCAGCTTCTCACAGAAAGGAAATCTTACTTGCTGCTGTTATTTTGTTTTCAATATATTATCACTGCATGGCTCAATTGAACATATTTTTTGTTGACTAAAATAAATACAATTTGATTACATTGTTGGGCTAATTACATAGCCAGTGATGTCAGATATAGATTTTGAATTTTTTTTGTTAAAGTTGACAGCTGTTCTTAAGAAAAATAGAAAAATACAATCAAATATTAGAGGAATTTCTACAACAGATTTTGTATGAGAAATTACTTTCTGGAAGTTTAAGATGGCTAAAAAAAGGGGAGGGAGAAGAGAGTATTACACAATGGCTGTTGCCCAATATCTTACATTAGAAGTAATGCTGGCACCACAGAAAAATTGATGCAGCAGTGAGGGAGGCAGTCAAACTTAAGTACAGTTATTCTTTGTTGTTGGACCCCCTCCTAAAGAGTAGTTCGTATTATCTTACATGCACCTAACTTTGGGAGTGCATATGCCATTTTATAAAAAAAAAAAAAAATTGGCAAAGCAAGCATTTGGAGTTTAGTCCACACCTTCATATTCAAACTTCTAAAGTCTAGTATATTGCCAGTTTGACTATAATTAGCTTTAAAAGTCCATAGCTCAACTGCAGGTGCAGTCTGTTGGATTGAGGCTACCGCATAGTTTGTGGCTTTGGTTCTGCCTGTCATGGATTTTTAGGTGACAGTGAGTGTGAGCCCGTTCTAATGGAAACTGGGCGATAAAGAATATATATTTGAACACCAGAATCCACCAGAGTGATATGAAATACCACTATGTGGTGTGACTCTTTGGCACCTTAAAATCAAACCTTTGATTTGCCCATTAAGGGCAAATCCACAGCAGCATATATTAACCTCTGCTTAGTTTCCTGCCATTCTATTTAGTGCTAAGAGCCAAAGGAAATACTTGGTAATTGCATGTATGGAGGAGCATGTGACACTCCATGTGACAGCACCGTGCCTATCATTGCTGCCCAAAGGGAGTACAATCTGCAAAGCCAGTGACTCATAGCTCACACAAGGCTTTGCTCTTTCTCCTGGCTGCTCACTATGGAACATATGTATATGCATCTGTGAAGGTCTGCATTAAAGTAAAACTGTTGCTTTGTCCTGCATGGGCAAAGCACAGATTTACATTAAGCTATACATCCATGCAGTTGTTGTACAAAATTCACACAAAAGATTTTGTACAGCTAACTCAAACAGCTAACCTTAAAGTGACATTAAACCCTCAGATTTTTTAACATAAAACAATACTGTAATGTGCGCCTTACTGTAATCCATGGTTGTTGCCCTTCTCTTTGCTGCTCTTCCTTTTAAATCTGTATCTGTTCTCATGCTGGCCAGAACTTCTGTTTTGCAGCAGACTGCCTTGTCTCTGGAATGGCTACATGGTGTCTGTGTGTACGTTTGCAACCTGAGCCAGCACTACAGGAAGAGGCACTCAGCTGCAAAGGGAGGTACTCCCCAAGCATGAGAAGACATGAGGATTTAAAAGGTAAGAGCAGCAAAGAGAAGGGAAACTACCATGGATTACAGTAAGGCACACATTACAGTATTGGTTTATGTTAAAAAATCTGAGGGTTTAATGTCACTTTAAGACATAGGTATCAGTTAAAGATATGACTGGTTAGATGTATTTATTCAGCTACCCATTGTTTTTATTCGCAGTCAGCAATGTGGCCCATTGCTTTAGTTGCCCATAAGTGATGCAATGAAATTATATATGCATTTTAATGGATCACAATATATTAAGTAGGCCCACTAACTAAAAGGTTAGTCCTTATGTCCTGTAGTGCTGGGATTCTAGGTATTCCAGGAACATAAATGTTCTCTCTCTGGGAATTCCAAAGCAAAACATTTGGTTATCTGGCATCTCACCAAAGAGGCCCTAGAGTCTGTATATGTGTGTGTGTATATGAGTGTAGGCGGGACATTTAATTAGAGCTCCTTTGTGGACAGGATCTGACCGATGTTCTATGTACACTGTAAAGTGGTGCCTAATATGTTAATGTTATGTGGGGAAAATGTTAATGATAAATAAGGAAAATAAATTAATGGGACTCTCACCCCCCTCTGGACATGGATTTTGTTACTATTTATTAAGTACTTTCAAATAACACATAAGAACATGGTAGATTAAATATTTACATAAACATCTGAAGCACCTAAAAACTATTCCTTTAATGGAAAAAAATAACTGTTACTAAACTTTTAAGTATTTTTTGTTTTAATTTGGTTACATAAATGCAGAACAAACATTTAATTGAATGTGTTATTTTAACAATGTAACTTTTCCACCATGGTCAAGGTTAACTCTGTTATTGGTAGACCAGAGTTTTTCAACAGTTCATTTTAAAATCAAGAGTCTAAAGTTCAATGTTTTATGTAGAGGAGAGACATTTGCAGATAATTACTTTGTTTCTACTTGTTACAGATACACACAGAAAGCTAGGGGATTTCAAGTCTGTTCTGAAAACACCTGATCTTTCTCAAAAGATCATCTATTTGTGAGTTAGCATTACAAACTTCAGTCAAGTCTACAGGCATGTATGAACCAACAGTGGACATTCCTTAATAGTGTATGTGTATGCCTGCTTACATTATTTTCAAAGTTACAGCTGCATCTTCATGCTGATTCCATCCACCTGACTAGCACATGTTAAATTGCTTGGTGTGTCGAACCTCAAACACGTTAGCTCAAAATTATCTCATGCAAAGGACATAACTTCATAAGAGTGAGTTGCCAAAGTGGTCTTATATCCTCTAGGGGGGCCATTGTCAGTTCACCACTAATATTGAAAAAACGATTAATTGGATACATCACATTTCTTTCTTTTTTAAATGATAATTACTTGGTAAATGTGTAATACAGTATATGCATAGGGCAATGCACCTAGGATTAAGTTATACTTTAAAATGACACCTGGCAACTAAGGAGTTAAAAAAGACATGCACGCGCAGTAGGGAAACCTTCCACAATGTGGATATTTCTTGTCAATATTTTAATAATATTTTAAAAATGTGTTTTATATTTTCTGTCAACTTCAGTGTCTGTTTGTGGTGAAAACAGGTTTCACACGTAAATAAAATATGTATTTTGTAAAGAATCCCCTTTAGTTCTCCAACTGATGAAGACACTATTGGACATTTGATTTAATCTTGGCTTAAAGTGTATGTATGGGCAAAACAAAAACCATGCACTACATCTCAACAATACATGCACATGTTTTCTCTCTATAAAAAAGCTGCAAGGACAGGAAATATTGTTGTAAGCCCTGCCTGAGTTCTCCCTTGCTGGAATACAGCAACACTTCCCTTTATGTTATGGCAATAGTAAGTGGGGCAGGTGTTCTGTTGTCTAGAAGGAGACAACTCAGGCAGGGCTGACAACACTGCTTGGGATTTCAGTGAGGCTATACTGTCAGCTAACTACATTTAGAAGCTCACTGGATTTCTGGCAGATCAGCAGGTATTTTTTTTTGTTTCGCTACAACATGGATAAATGTGCATGTATTGCAGAGCACATTTCTTTTTATTGTGCACAGATATATTATTTAAAGCTGGATTTTTGTTGGAGTTTTGTTGTAACAGGCTTGCAGCTCTTGGAAAAGCCAACAAAATAAAGAACATCCCACCAAAAAAAGTACCTTTCCTCCTGTGTCACCTTTAGGACCAGCTTCACCCATGTCACCCTGTGAATAATAAAAAACAAAAAATGATTTTATGCATGTTCCTTTCCTACCCCTTTTTACATGAAAAGATATATTAATATTTTGTGATGGATTGTACCATGTATACATTTTAAAGAGATAAATATTTAGGTGCATATTTATAAACAAGTTAATATGACATTCACTAAACATTCACAGGTGGTTAATCATGTAGTGTAATTAAAACATGCATCAAGATGATTCAAAGGCCAGAAGGAGACATCCCAAAGCCCAAAGTCTTCTGATGGAAATCACAAAACATCCCTAGTCGTAAAGCAGTTAAAGGCTATCTCTGTAAAAATCAGTGTGAACCATTTTTTCTTACCTGATTCCCACTCCTGCTGGCTAGGAGACCAGTGCCCCGAGGCTCTTCACCCCACCCCTCCAGCGGTCAGAGGCCCGCTGATATCATCACATCTAATGCAGGGTCCATAGACCTGCATTAGACGTGAGGACGTGGAGGAACAGTCCACGAGTCAGAGCAGAGGGAAGAGAGGTGATCAGGTATGTAAAAACTACTTTAAAAGAATCCCCCTAGAAAAAATGAGCAGTTGACCCTTGCAGTAAGGAAGTAGCCCCGCTGCAAAGTTAGTTTTTTTTTTGTACCTGGAGATAGACTTTAAAGTGTTTAATAACTGGTCGTTGGTGTAGGTGGTCAACTGCAACTTACTGCATATGTGATAATTATGCATTCTGATGCAAGTTTCTATGTTGTCACCCAGGAGTGCACTATAAGAGCATGTAGAATAGTGGGCTTACTTTTCCCACAGGGCCAGGCACATGTATGCTGTGACACAATTGGTGACCTTTAATTCCTATGCCCCATGCTCCTCACCTTATCCCAGATAGTCTTTGACTTCCCCTGCAAACCTCTTACAAAACCCCCAAGAACAACACGAAACACCTGTAGCTGCAAGAAAGCCCCCAAAGAGCCAACACCAATGAGGACCTGTCACCGCTCCACAGTCACATTCTTAATGTGCTCATTGCATGTTTTATTGTTATATGTTTTTCCATATTTCGCACCATTCATGTTGCTTATCAGTAAGACTTTCCACCCGGCCATGGTTTAGTAAACAGTGGAAGGGTGTTTAGTAAGGTGACTAGGCTAATTGTTGTATCTTTTTTTGTAGGCTACCATCAATGTGCTACTCTCACCTATCTAAAATTAGATTACAAATGGCATATATAATCACCCTGGAAAAGAAAAATTTCCTTCATGCAAATATTTACATGGATATGCAGACTATGTATTACATTCATATAAAACAGTCTAAAGGATAACAGAAAGTGATGATGTAGATGATCATATATTTTAATCAAGAATAGAAGAACAGATCTCTTACCTTTTCACCACTTTCTCCTTGATCACCCTAAACAAAAAGTAAAAAAAAATCCTTAAAGGCCTTTTATCTGGTTTAACACAGAATATGCTAAATTACCAAAGCTCACCAATATGATAAGGATCTTTATCAGACATGTGACTATAATTTTCAAATGTCATTGGCATTGATCTAAAAAAAAGTCTAATTTTGTAAAGAAGAACTCCAACGAAAACTTTTATTACCTTTTTTAATCTAGGTGCTAAAATAGTTATATTCATCCGAACCACAGAGCCAGCAGGCTGTCACAGTGCTCCCTCCAGCTTCCTATGCTGCAGAGATGGTATATCCCTCATGTGTCTACATGTCCAGTACAAAGTGTATTGGATGTGAGGACTTGAGAATCCTTAGACCGGTGCAGCAGAGGGGGAGCGAAGCTGGAAGGACGGCTCCGAGGATCAAGTGAATATAACTTTTGTTTTGTATCAGCTAAGCAAAAACGAGCACCTAGCACTTGCAGTGTGGGGGTATCCCCACTGCAAGGGTTAATAAAAGTTTTGCCTGGAGCTCTTGTTTAAAGCTCTGTGAATTAAAGCAGAACAATGGCTCTTTCTAAAAAAATATATAACCAGGAAACTAGAGAAACGTACTATTTGCCTTCTGCAATAAAGGCTTTATACCTTCCTGTGTGCAATCTTCTTTTGTGTGCACATGCAGAAGTTACATTATGCAAGACCAGCCAATCAAGAAGCCAAAGATACAGAACCTGAAAGAAGCTGGGTAGAACATGTAGGCGCTGGCGTAATGGTTCGCAATGCAGAACACGAGATTTTACTTACATGCCTCATTTCTGTTTGTTTTATTTTCTAGCCCTCTGCCATCATCACAGAGCTTTAATGTTCCACTCCTAAGTGGCAGCAACAAGGGGTTAGTAGAGAAGTGACTGGCACCAGAAGAATGGGCAGGGACACTGGAGCAGAGAAACACCCCTGTTTATCATTACAGCAAGTGCACCCTGCAGTTAGTGCAACATTGTTCCCAGCACAGCCCTGGCAGCAGTTTATGTACAGCCACATTGAGGATACAGTTTTACAATAAACATGTCTGCCCCACCTATCTACCCTGCAGTCTCTTTTTTTCGCTAGACAACACAGTGCTTTTACTTTCTGGCAGTATAGAGTGGACCTGATCAGAGTGGCAGGCAGGTTTTATTGAGGTAGGTGGTGATGGCCATGTAGAAGATAAGCCACTCTGCAACCACCCGCAAGTAGTCTCTGCCGTCTACAGGCAACGCTGACTTGTTGACATAAGCACTGCCTGTGAATTAACCTTGTGATGACCAGTTATCTGCTTAGCAGAAGCAGACAGCAGTGACCAGTCCACATATTTCAAGCATTTATCTAGAGGAAGACACTTCAACAACTGAAAGCTGCCATACTGAAGCGACTTTCCTCTGCACAGTTTTCAGTGTGAAGCTTACACTTTTACGCTTATCCAAACCCTTCAGGTGGGGTTCATGAAAATGGACCAACATTTTTTTTAAAAGTGGAGCTGTTGCGCATAGCACCTAATTCTTATTTTATGTTTGCATTAAAAATAACTGAAGCCTGATTGGTTGTTACCTCTGTCACTGCTGGTGCATAAGATTTACATGGGGTTAGGTACAGGAATTGTTGTTCTTGGAAGGAACAATACATCTGTAAGGTCAGAACTATCAGTGAAAGCAGGTGTTGAACATCAGCCTATGGTTACACAATGTATATAAAGTTGAGCTTAAGAATGAGGTAGCATTTCTATTATTCTTGTGCCACATTATCCAAGATGTCAAGTATTTTGAGCTTTAAATCTGGTGCAGGTGAGGATAAGATCCAGTTCGCGTGAGGATAAATCACCCTTGTAGCAGACTTGTTTGACAGCACAATGGAAAAAAATAATTACAGTTTTATATGCTATAGCTGTTGGCTGCATGTTTTCACCTCACCTTTATCCCCTGTATGCCATCCAATCCAGGTGCACCTAGATCCCCCTAGAAAAAATAACACAGCAATACCATTATTAAAATGACTCAATCTAACACATTTCACAAACATGTTCTGGATTTTTACTGTACATAGCATAAAACAGTTTATTTACGTGTTGTGCCGTTTACTAGGTGTAGCGTATGTTGGGAACTTTTTGGAATGCCATTTGTTTTCCAACTTATAACTCTCTTTGCAATTCAATAGATATAATTAGCTTGCACGTCACTAAGGTTACAGAAAGCTCCAGTATAGCAGGCTGATCTTCAGATTTGTATATAAGGACAGAGAGAACGAGCTGGACAAGAACACATTTAATCAGAGATGAGTCAGAGCCAATGTATAGCTATAACTGCAGGTAATTACAGCATCACAAAATCTCTTTACGAATGTCAAGAACTACACATTTTTTATCATAATTAAAATCTGTTCATAGCTCGTCAGATCTGTTCACAAATCAGTTCACAAAATGCCAGTCTGCTGATTTCACCTTTTTAATGTTTCAATAATAAACTAAAAAAACTAAGCAACTTGCCATCCCAAAATATACCAACCTAGCATACCAGTCTTCTATATAGCAAGATAGACTGCAAGAACACTGACCCTTACTATGTTAAGGGCTTGATTTATTGATAGTAAACATTTTAAGAATACCTGTTACAATGCATTAGTGTGCAATGCATTGTGGAAGCACAGTTTTTCTTAGTGTTATAGACCTACATAGCTATATAATGATAAGATGGATAGGAGGTTATACACAGGAACCAAAAACTCAAGATTTTTCACGTGGCTTCTGCCATTTAGAAGCATGGGAATGATATAAAGCATAAGTTTCTATCACACAGAAGAGGTGTAGATGCGCAAAACTGTTGATTTGCTGAATATTATTATTAATAATAATATTACTTTCTTTCTGCTGATGTAAAAAGCTAAATTGCCTTTACACACTGCTAACACTATATATACTAAGCACCATTTTTTTTAGGATGGAAGTAAACAATCAAAAAAGGTGTAATGTAGAATGTACTGTAGAATGTAGCATGCCTTTTTTTGATGATCAAATATGCATTTCTTTAATTTTTACAAAAGGTGAACCTAGCCTTTAATAGTTTGATATTAAGACACAAATTAATTACAATGCATGGTACATGCATTGTAATTAATTTGTGTCTTAATATCAAACTATTAAAGGCTAGGTTCACCTTTTGTAAAAATTAAAGAAATGCATATTTGATCATCAAAAAAAGGCATTTCTTTAATTTTTACAAAAGGTGCACTCAAGCCTGGAAAGCATTGCAATTGTGATCACTCGATCAGGGCTGCAGAGCTCAGGCTTCTGCACATTCTCATACTGGCAGAGCTCCGTACCGAGGTACAGAGTTTCAGTTAGGAGAGATGGGGAAGGACGGCTGGACGAGAATAAGGACAGCTCTACCGCATCTAACCAGAGAGAGGACGGCTGGACGCTGTATGAGGTGATTTAATCCAGTTTGATGTCTAGCCGTCCTTCCCTATCTCTCCTAAATGAAACTCTGCCTGGGAGAGAATGTGCAGAAGCCTGAGCTTTGCAGCTGTGATCGAGTGATCACAGTTGCAATGCTTTCCAGGCTTGAATGCAAAAATTAAAGAATAGCATATTTTTTGTTATATTATTAAATATGCATTTCTTTAATTTTTGCAAAAGGTGAACTTATCCTTTAAGCAGTACCATTTAGACAAAATACCTCTCCCATTGGATCTGCGTAAAAATAGATGTATAATCTGGTTGGTTAATGATTCAATTACCTCCATATTTTCATCATAACGTAAGGTTGTTGATTTACTAAAGGCAAATAGGCTTTACACTTTGCAAGGGAATTTGTACTTTGCAGGGGACGTTTTTCTTAGCTTTGTGAATGTGGTGAATTTTCACTTTGCAAAGAATAACCAATCATGTGCAAGGAAAAAAAACAACAGTATTTTTGCTTGCACATGATTGGGTGATGTAAGTCAGAGGAGCTTCACCACATTCAATAAACTAAGGTGTAACCTCCCCTGCAAAGTGCAAAGTGAACAGCCTATTTGTCTTTAGTAAATCAATCCCAAGATGTCTAGTTTCATCATTGTTTTTTAAATCATTCAAATGCCCTACAGACCATCTGTAATCCATGGTAAGCTCCTGCAAAAATGTTTTGCATACTTATGTGTATTCTTATATGTATCTGTTTGTGCCTGGGTGAGTGGCTTAAGTGCCGAAATAGAATTCAATCATAATGTGAAAAAAATTATACTAAGGGACCTGAGATGTCACCTGCGCTAAGGAGATAAAGTTTACCTGCAGCCTTAAACGGTGGCACTGTCATTTAATTTTTCAATATGAGTAGAGACCTAAATAGAATTCACCTAGAACTTGGAAGCATGACCTTGAGAATTATGGGGTTCCACAGAAGGATTATGAAGGCACTTTCTCCCTCGAAGCTGAACTCCAGGCAGATATAAAATATACAAATGAATGCAATTCTGTATTCATTAATAAATCATTAAAACATTTTTTTTTAAATTACAAAATTTGAGTAACTGAATCAACCTTTTTTAAACAATTGTACAGCAGACTCTGACTGAGAGAGGTAGGGCCAGCACTGGAAGCCAGTTGGGGGAGTTGCATGCAAATATGCTGACAAGGAACATGCAGATAGGAAGAAAGAGTGGAATGAGTAGAGAGACGACTTCATCAATCTGCTACTTATTCACTGTGCACTCAAGAGGTTGGGGGCAGAGTGTTGTCAGCAGTACATTTGTTATTTGTAACAGAGAAAGTGTTGCCATCCTTGTGTGATGGGGCAATGTAAATCTCAGAACTGGAAAGACAGTAATGTGGATTTTTATGCAAGTAAACAGGCTTGCATATACTGTATGTTTTTTACCTGTGTATTTAGATTTAAGCTTGGAGTTCAGCTTTAATACTCCCATCGTTGTTATAGTCCACTTTCACATGCTCCTCCTAATTGAATTGCTCTGTATTGCCATCTTTAGTGTCTTAGATGTCCTAGCTGCTTATTTGCATAGGCCTTGACCTAATGAGCAGACATTACAGTGCACTTCATCTAATAATCAGAGGCATGACTCACTATGGGTCCAAGATATGTAGGTTCTGCAATATTCTCTTATGTATTAAATATATGGTCACTCAGTGATCTGTCCATGACTATACCACCTGTCATGGAATAAGACAGCCTCTTGTAATGGACATTGAATGAGGCTGTTGTTGCCCCATTGTAGCCCTGTAACCTAATATCATTATAGTTATACGTCTGACACATATTTTTATATCTCCACTGTTTCCTATAATTAGTAACTGACACAATAATATCGATATTAAAGCATAAAACATTTGCTACAATACATTCTAGAAATGTCAAAATAAATGACTAGTATGTTATTTATTGTACCTTTTCTTTACATTTGCCCAGTTACAGTGTTAGCTGAATGATTGATGGGCCTAATGTGATCCACTAGACGCTAATAAAGAGGGGTTGAGTTACCTGCAGACTTCATTAGGCGAGGTGGCGTTAACATACTTGCTGAGCTTGTGATTTTGCATTTGTCGCTGTGCTGATAAAGACGAGGTGGTGTCTTGATGGTTTATGACAACTTACAGATAAAAATACACTTTTAATAAAGCTGTGTAATTGATATCTCAGCTCAGGGTCTTTTTCAGCTCCTGGCCGATTACATTTTGTCATATTATTCAGACACAGCTAATGATTAATTATTGGGAAGATGAAATACAAGATCCACGGATGTCTGCTTGTGAAGTGTTTACGTAAGAACGTTGGAACTATAGAACATGTAATGCTCTAAGACAGGGGTAATAATGTAAGTTTTATCCTTACTTCTGTACACTTTTCACCTTCAACTAAACTCTTTTTTTGTGGGTGAGGGAGAGCCAAGAGAAATTAGACAGGAATTCTCAGCAATATTTCCCAACTGACTAACAATTTTGTTGAGCATTTCCCTTCATTGATGATTTCTTCCCTTCCTTTCAATGAAAGCATTCGTTGTTGTAATGTGATACAGCAATTATATATTATCCATGTGGGGGAAACAAGGACATAATACTTCAATATGCTTGACCTACCCGTATGTATAGGAACAAAGCTTAGTTTTCTTAGTCCCTTCTTCCGTATGTTGTAGACATGCCAAAAATGTATCAACTTAGGAACTCTACAGACAGCACTGGGGCTCTATGTTAATGATGCTTTCACCTCTGATTATACATAATAAAACTTAGATTAAGTGAATAAATACTGAGGAGATTCTAAATGCCTGTTTACAATCCGGAAGTGATTTTTAAATTAACAGGATTACATAGGGTATATATTGTTAACATGATTCATAAATGAAGGCCATGTTCACCAAAAATACAATTTTGACTGTTATTTGTAAAATGGAATGATAAAAAATCTGTTTCGAATTTATAACAGGGATAGGCAAATGTCAGCCATCAGCTGTGGTGCAACTACAAATTCTGTCAGGCCTCTGTCTGTGGGAGTCAAGCATGTGGCTGTCAAAGTCTTGCAATGCCCCATGGGATTTATAGTTTTAACATAGCTGGAGGGATGAAGTTTGCCTACCTCTGATCTATAGTGTTTACTGAAGGCAAACAGGCTGTACACTTTGCAGAGTAATTAGAACTTTGCAAGGAATTTTTCCCTTAGCGTATTGAATCTGGTGTCCAATATTCCAATACGACCTCCCTGCAGACCCCCACGTCTCATGGGCCAGGGATCTAGGGATTAAGTTCTTGTTAATAACATGGAAACAAGGTGCCTTACCAGGGGGGAAGGAGGCATTGTTGACCCCCCCCGGCAAGGTAGTCCTCCATAGGTGAGGGTATGTTTCAGGGGGAATGGCGCATGCTTAATTTACCCCCCCCCCTCCCCTCCATTTTTTTCCTGCAGGTTGCATGTCTGGTTAGGTGTCTGATATGAAAGGGCACCCCACACTTTTTTCTTGTTTTCTTTTTTAAAAAGTGTACTGTCCCGTTAAGAAAAAAATTGCATGGGGTCCCCCTAAAAATCCATACCAGACCCTTATTCAGTGGATAAGGGTCTGGTATGGATTTTGAGGGGGACTATACTATTAGTATACGTTTATTTTAACAAGAAGAAGTGTTCCCTGATGAGTACATACAGATGATTGAGTACTAGAATATACCAGCACTGGATTGCACAGCAGCAAAACCTGTTTCAGACAGAGGGCACTGGGACTGCTAGTAGTTAACTATAGCACAGGAAATCAGGACAGGTAGTTGTAAGCATGGTAGCCTGAAAGAATTTTACAAAATTACAAACATTTTTTTTTTTTTAACAAACAAAATTGTGTAAAAAGCTACATTTTGAAGAAAGGTTTGTGGAAAATATATGCAAAGCAGTTGTTAGTGTACAAAAATAAGTTTTAGGGTTTGGTTCCAATTACAAACTCATTCAAAACAGAAAAATGAAAGGTCACATGTTAACCACTTGCTGACCGGGTGTTAAACCCCCTTCCTGCCCAGGCCATTTTTCAGCGCTGCGGTACTTCGACTAACATTTATTCAATCATGTAACGCTGTACTGAAATGAATTTTATACCATTTTTTAGGGACAGATAGAGCTTTCTTTTGGTGGTATTTAATCACCACTGGGGGTTTTATTTTTTACTATATAACGAAAAAAGGAGCGAAAATTTTGAAATTGAACAAACCTGTTTTCCCTACTTATTATTACCCAATTTTTTGGTAAAATATAACAGACGGGGTCACGTCGAGTAAATAGACAACAAACAAGTCAAGCTTTAAAATTGCGTGCCCCCACAAAATTGCAAAAAACTGGGACAGCGGTGCCCGGGATAACCGGCAGCGAAGAAAGGGGGGGGGGGCGCGGCAGCGAAGGGGGGCCGCACCATGCGAGGCCATAAAAGGGATC